CTTAAGCTTAGCTTGCCTTAAAAAAAAATTCATAAAAATATCAAAATTTGTAATTTTAGCTAAATGATTATGTAAAATGCAAATTAATTTTAGCTAAATGATTATTAAATGCAAATTATGTAAAAAAAAGTTAGATAACTTACATAATATTGTTTTAAGCTTTTGGTGGTTTAAATAATAAGTAGTAAGATGACCAAGTGAAGGAACAGTTCTTACCAGTGAATAAGCACTAAATTTTCCAGCGAATGAACACTTAATTTAGAGAATGTTTGATGCTCGTTAGGAATCCATAGGCCACGCAAATGTCTAAAAACAAGATTTTTCTTGGAATTACGACATATAACCAGTGGCGTAGCTAGGTAACCAAGGGCCCTGGGGCAAATTAAAAAATGGGGCCCCACTGCTATGTAAACTGATTAGGTTTTATCAAATAAAAATATGAAATATACAAATACTTTAAAAATGATAAGCTAATTAAGCTCTTTTTTGTTCACTGCAGGGCACGTAATAAAAATATTAAACAGTAACAACATAAATTACAATTAATACTTGGTGTAGGTTTGGCTAATAAAACGAAATAGAGAAGATTTAAGGGTTTATTATATAAAGGTCGGGCCTACCAACTGACTAAATAACAATTATATTTAAAAAATTTTCCTAGCTTTAGTTTTCGCAAAAGTATCAATGACTTCGTTTAAATCCAGGCTTGATGCGGTTTTGTTTTCAATTGCTATTAGCGATACGTGTCAGAGTCGAGTTTGGCACATATTATTTCTTAAATAATTTTTTATTATTTTTAATTTGCTAAATGACATTTCAGCTGTTGCAGAAGTGACAGGAATTGTAAAGAATAATAACATTGCTGTAAATACTTCCGTTAGGTCGTATTCTAGCACTCCATATTTGCTCATTATTTCCTTACATAATTGGTGAACAGTCCATGCTTGAGTTAGTTGGGGTAAAACTAGGTGGTAAATATTAATACATTGAAGTGAAAAACTAGGGCCTATTATATCTGAATTTTTTCTTTGGAATTCGTCACACTTTTGTAATAAAGTTGCTTCATCAACATGTAATAAAAATGTTGGTGTTGGAAAATCGAATATATGACAGACTGCACTCATACCAATAAAACGTGTATCTAATTGAGATATTACTGTGTCTAGTACATTATTGAAAATCTCAATTTTAAATATTTTTTCTCGGTTTGGAAATCGGTGATCAGCAACTAATTCATCAAAATGTTTTTTAACTTTTCTTTGCCTTTTTTCTTGAAAATGGGTATCACTGGCTTTGGAATGGCCTGGAATGGCTTTGCACTTGAATAATTCGAAATCATTTCTATAAATTTGCAGCTTTGCTTTGATCTCTGCTAAAACTTTACTCGCCTCGCCCAAATTGATGTCGCATTTTTGTAAAGTTTTGGATGCATAATTGATGTCGTTCAATACACTGTGCATGAATTCGCAAAGCAACACGAACTCGAAATTTAGCATTTTTGTTTTAATACTCTCTGCTTCACTACGCTCATCTTTATTAGGACTCTTTAGAACTATTTCTGATAATGCTTTGATAATATCAAAATAACGAAGTTTTATTGCAGATATCGTATTGACCCTACTGGACCATCTAGTCGGATTTAGCTTTTTTAGAGTGGTGTCCGATTCGCCAGTGAATTTTGACAGTAGATCCCAACGTTTGATGCTGTTTCTGAAAAAGTTATACAAATCTTGCAACGTTGCGAAAAAAATCTGTATTTCCACACAACTGCTAACGGCATCATTTATCACCAAATTTAAATTATGAGTGGCACAATGTACGTACTCTGCGTTAGGCAGGATATCCTTAATATGTTTTTGTACACCATTATACACATCACTCATCACACTGGCTCCATCATAGCCTTGCTCCACACATTTTTTTAAATCAATATTTTTGTCGATAAATAATGTCACTTGGTTGACTAAATCTACTGTGCCATGTTTGATGGCTGCATAAAAGCCTAGAAACACTTCTCTTACTTCTATATCAATTGGCTGTCCATTTTCCGATCTGGTTATTACTGCATACCTCACAACAATGCTTAGCTGATCTACATTCGATATGTCCTGTGCCGTATCCATTATGATGGCAAAAAACGGTGACGCTCTAATTTGTTCTAGTAGATGGGTTTCGAGTTTGGTCCCCAAGCTCTCAATCATTTCATTTTGAATTGTTGCATTTAGATATCTTGTAGATCCAAAAAACATTAAAAAAACGCAATTTCGAAAAAGTCCTGATATTAAACAGTTAATTATATACAAAATAAAACAATAAAAAAAACTTAGAAATAATTATTATTACCTTTGGGCATATCCAAAACTTGCCGCAAAATTTGATCATATCGGGTGACAAGCTCTACAAAAGACAGAAAATTTCCGTGGTATCCTTTCTGACTTAAGTCTTCTTGATGTCCTCTCAAAGCCAAAGAACTCTTTGCTAGGGTAAGTATGATATCGAATAACCTTTGAAGAGCCATTTTCCAAAATGATGCTTCTTTGCGAATTTCATTTTCAAATCCTTGTCGATAGTATTAGTATCGTTTTTTTTCCAAAATTCAAGTACAGCACATGCTTCCGAATGGCCACTCAAACAACTGTGTTGTTTAATTCTTTCTGATAAATGCTTCCAATCTCGAATTCCCGTACGCCAAACAATGCAGAGGTCTGTGGTTCCTCCAAACCCTCCGCTCTTAATTATGTGTGTCATGCAAACATCATCCACGTTCACATGATCGGCGGCGGAGGTATCTCCAACTGCAATAATTGTCGAATCTTCCTCAGTAGGCTTCTCAACCAACACTGCAGTTACCACTTTATTTGAGTCACTATCAATAGAAATATTTTGACCAGATACACTTGCAGAAGGCTGACTAAAAAACTTGTCAATTTTGGGCAATTTTTGTTTACTATCCTCTCTTTCTTGGCGTTGTTTGAGTTTAAATGCACCACTGGGTTTCTTCTTTTTATCCATAATTTTAGTTTTCTAATTTATTTGAACAATACAATATTAGATTGTGCTCGAGTAGGTAGGTACTCACTGTTCACTGATGTCGTTAAAAGTAAAATAAAAGGAAAGAGAAACACAATTATACGGTACAAGTGTCGTTGGGGACTCCCCAGAAACAAAATTATCACCGTTAGTGTTACCACATTTAACGGTGGAGACTGTAATGGTTGGCAATTGTTTGGTGACCTTTTAAGGCGCACTTAGCGCATTTTGTCATCCCGTCGGAGGGATGCGAGAGAGAGAAAGGTAGATGTATGTTTGATATAATCGGAAGATGGTCTCCCTTGGTATTCTAACAGCTGGAAGCTCTTACTGGAAAACAATGCCTATTTCTTTTGCTTTTAAATAAAGTTAAGTTTTATTGCTTTAAAAATCTGGTCTGCTTATTTATTGGAAAGGAAAGGCATTACAGGGACCATGAACGATCTCTTGCCCGCGGACCTGAATTAATGTATCTATTGCAGGTGACTTGCACTTTTTGTCACGATATTTCGCGTCATACAATGAGCTGTTGCCGAAATCTATAGATTTGACACGATTTATTGACTTAACGGACATCAATATGAGTGGTAAAACCAAATAAAATTGAACCACTATATTGACCAGTACAAAAATTGGTATGCGGCCAAAGAACCGGGCTCTTCACTTGTTCACATAGGTGATAGAGCATCTCAAACAGCTATTTCCAGACTGGCAAGTGGACACACGAATAGTCTCTCGTACTTTGAGGAAAGAAAGACTTATGCAGCCTGCTCTAAATGTGAAGCCCAGCAGGCCTCAGCTGAACATATCTTCGACTGCTTGGGCCTTTCCAAGGAGGACTTATATGCTTCTCCACTTCTTGTAATCGACTTTTTGAGGGTCAACAACCTACTGGATCTTGTCTGACTTCGTCAGACAATTAGAGGATAAGAAATAACAGCAAGAACAACAACAACACTCCTGATACAGCATTAATTTTTTAACCG